CAGGCCAGACCAGGTAAGTGTGGCAATTTCCTTCCTTAAAGGACATTAGTGTACCAGATGGGTTTTTCCGACAATTGGCAATGGATTCGTAGTCATCATCGGATTCTTAGTTCCAGATATTTATTGAATTCAAATTCCACCATCTGCCATGGTGCGATTCAAACCCAGGTCCCCAGGACATTACCTGGGTCTCTGGATTAACAATCCAGCGCTAGGACATTGCCTCCTCCACAGGTGAAAAAAAAAACCCAAGAGGGTGAAAAGGAGGTGAAAGGCCTCAGGTTTTTTCACTGTAATGGAGTGGGGCACATTAAGTTGGTGCCAGTCATTTAAGAAAGGCACAGGGAAAAAGAATGGCGTAAAAGAGGCTAAACCAGTGGGATTAGTTGAAGTAGTAAAGGAAATCTCAAAAGAAGTTGAGGAGCTGCAGGAGAGTGCACAGCCTAGTGTTGGGGTGGATAGTGAGATGGTGCTCAATCTCTAAAAAGACTTCACCTCTGTGGATAAGGTTTACTCACAAAGAACAGGGGGAGAAGGTAAAGTAATAAAAATATTGAGAGATACGGGAGCTAACCAGTTTCTAATAGTAAGAGATGAAAGTATTTGCACTCCTGAAATGTAACCTGAGAGAGTGGTAATTTGTGGAATAAATGGAGAGAGATTTAGCATTCCCCTGTGTTAGATCAGGTTGGAAAGTCCAATCAAGACTGGGGAAGTGACAGTGGGAGTGATTGAAAGAGTGTCTATTCCAGGAATACAGTTTGTTCTTGGAAACGACCTAGTAGGATCAAAGGTAGAAGTGATGCCCCTTGCAGTGAAGAAGCCAAAGGAAAACCAGAGAACTGAAGAGTTAAGAGAAAAATACCCTGGATTTTTTCCAAACTGGGTGGTGACATAATCCCACAGTCATACGTTAAAGCAAGAAGGGAAAACCAAAGAGAGAGATGAAGGAGTTGAGGTCCAGTTAGCTGACATCCTGTTTGATGAAATGGTAAAGGGAGAACCTGAACAGGTACAGGAATGGGCAGAGGTGTTTAGTTCTGAAAGATTAATGGATTTACAACAAAAATGTGAGACAATGAAAGGTTTATATCATAAAGCCTACTTGGAAAAGGAATCAGAATGTATTCCTCAATGTTATTACCTTAAGGATAGAATCCTAAGGTGAAAGTGGAAACCACGGCAGGTTAGTGCAGAGGAGAACTGGGCGGAAGTGCACCAGATTGTATTGCTGGTAGTATACAGACAGGCAGTATTGAGGGTAGCGCATGAATTATCTGTAAGAGGTCTCCTAGGAGTGAGGAAGATTCTAGCTAAGATACATAAGCATTTCTACTGGCATGAACTACGTAAAAATACAGTTCAAATTTGCCAGACTTATCATACCTGTCAAATGGTAGGAAAGCCACAGACAGCAATAAAGCCAGTGCCTTTGATGTCCATTCCTGCATTTGAAGAACCTTTCACGTGGTTTCAAAATGATTTTTCACAGTGCTCAGCAGAAGTATATTCCAGCGACAAGGAAGAACAGTAGGAAAAGAGAGAGCCAGCCATGGATGTCTAAGGAAATAAAGGAAAGTATCAGACTGAAAAAAAAACACATACAAAAAAGCAAAGAGTAGTGGGAAACTAGTCGACTGTGAAATCTTCAAAGGCCAACAGAAAGCCACAAAAAAAGTTATAAAGAAAAGTAAGATAGATTATGAGAGTAAACTAGCTCAGAATATAAAAACAGGCAGCAAAAGTTTCTATAAATATGTAAATCGTAAAAGAGTGGCGAAGGTAAACATTGGTCCTTTCGAGGAGGAGAAGGCCAATTTAATAACTGGGAATGAGGAAATAGCCGAGACATTAAACAGTTATTTCGTGTCCGTCTTCACTGTGGAAGACACAAATAACATGCCGAAAACTAATGGCAAGAAGGTTATAGCAGGTGAGGACCTAGAAACTATCATCATCACTAAGGAGGCAGTGCTGGGCAAGCTAATGGGGCTAAAGGTAGACAAGTCTCCTGGCCCTGATGAAATGTATCCCAGGGTACTAAAAGAGGTGATGGGGGAAATAGCAAACGCACTAGTAATTATTTACCAAAATTCACTGGACTCCAGGGTGGCTCCTGCAGATTGGAAAACAGCCAATCTGACGCCACTGTTTAAAAAAGGAACTAGACAAAAAGCAGGTAACTATAGGCCAGTCAGCTTAACTTCGGTAGTGGGGAAAATTCTTGAAGCTATCATTAAGGAAGAAATAGCAAGACATCTGGATATAAGTTGTCTCATTGGGAATACCCAGCATGGGTTCATGAAGGGTAGGTCATGTTTAACTAATTTGGTGGAATTCTTTGAGGACATTACTTGCATGGTGGACAATGGGGAACCTGTGGATGTGGTGTATCTGGATTTCCAGAAGGCATTTGACAAGGTGCCACACCAAAGGCTGCAACATAAGATAAAGTTGCACAGTATTACAGGAAATGTGTTGGCATGGATAGAGGATTGGTTGACTAGTAGAAAGCAAAGAGGAGGGGTAAATGGGTGTTTTTCTGGTTGGCGGTCAGTGGCTAGTGGTGTGCCTCGGGGATCAGTGTTGGGACCGCAATTGTTTACAATTTACACAGATGATTTGGAGTTGGGGACTAAGTGTGGTATGTCAAAATTTGCAGATGACACTAAGATGAGTGGTAGAGCAGTGTGCAGAAGACACTGAAAGTCTGCAGAAGGATATAGATAGTCTAAGTGAGTGGGCAAAGGTCTGGCAGGTGGAGTACAATGTTGATAAGTGTGAGATCATCCATTTTGGTAGGAATAACAGCAAAATGGACTATGTCTTAAATGGTAAAAAATTGCAGCACGCTGCTGTGCAGAGAGACTTGGGTGTCCTTGTGCATGAATCACTAAAATTAGGATTGCAGGTGCAGCAGGTAATTAAAAAGGCAAATGGAATTTTGTCTGCCATTGCTCGAGGGATGGGGTTTAAAAACAGGGAGGCTATGCTGCAGCTGTATAGGGTCCTGGTGAGGCCACACCTGGAGTACTGTGTGCAGTTTTGGTCTCCTTACTTGAGAAGAGATATACTAGCACTGGATGGGGTACAGAGGAGATTCACTCGGTTGATTCCAGAGTTGAGAGGGTTGGATTATGAGGAGAGACTGAGTAGACTGGAATTATACTCATTGGAATTCAGAAGAATGAGGGGAGATCTTATAGAAACATATAAGATTAAGAAGGGAATAGATAAGGTGGAGGCAGGGAGGTTGTTTCCACGAGCAGGTGAGACTAGAACTAGAGGGCATTGCCTCAAAATAAAGGGAAGCAGATGTAGGACTGAGGTCAGGAGGAACTTCTTCACCCAAAGGGTTGTGAATCTGTGGAATTCCCTGCCCAGTGAAGCGGTTGAAGCTACCTCGCTGAATGTTTTTAAGGCAAAGCTAGATAAATTTTTGAACAGTAAAGGAATTAAGGGTTATGGTGAGTGGGCGGGTAAGTGGATCTGAGTCTCAAAAAGATCAAGCAGGCTCGAGGGGCCAGATGGCCTACTCCTGCTCCTGGTTATTATGTTCTTGTGTTCTATGTTCTTATGTTATGATTGATTGTGTAAATCCTCTCCCTAAAACCAAAAGTGGAAATCAGTATTTGCTGACCATAATGGATGTGTCTACCAGATTTCTAGAGGCAATTCCATTACGGAATCTTAAGGCAAAATAGGTTGTGGAGGAGTTGCTTGCTTTCGTCATTTGACACTCCACTCACACCATTTGTAATGATTTTTCCATCTCTCTGCCCTTGATGTCTCTGCCTGTAAATTCTATGTTCTGCGTGCCTCCCTCTCACTTCACCTGACGAAGGGGCTATGCTCCGAAAATTTGTGTATTCAAATAAACCTATTGGACAATAACCTGGTGTCATGTGGCTTCTGACTATATATATTCTCCAATCCTAAATCCCTTAGATTTAGCGCTTTGTTCGTCAACACACCTTAATTTTGTACATTCCTCGCCAGTAATTCGCCCTGATAAAATTTACTCTTCATACCTCTGTGAGTAATACCTAAAACTCATTTTAGATCTTGGTGCTTCATGGTAAGAGGTAGTGAAAGGAGGAGAAGATTTAAAATCACTTTTTTTGTTAAATAGCCAAGGGTGGTTCATGTTCCAGGTTCTGGATAAATGCCAGATTAGGCAGTTATGTTCTCAGGCAAACAGCTCTGGAAGAGAACTTAGTACGCAAATTTCAACCCAAAATACATTGACTCAACTAATTTCTCTTTTTGGAATATTTCTAACGCATAACGAAGATGCAACACAAAGCATACAGTTTAAATCATCTTGGATAAAGAGGTCTGCTAAACATCTAAATATAAGTACATTAGGGAGAGCTGTTCAGCTGCTTTCCATAATGGCTATTATTGCTTTAGCTATAGCATAGATTCAAGAGTACATTGTAGTAGCCATACCTGAAATTCTGTGAAAGCAGGATATTGAGAAAAGAGCAGAAAGCTGTCATTTTAAAGTCAACCAAATTGCCTTTGGACATGTGGACTGAATCAGGTCAAGAAAGCAGATATGCCTCTCAGAATGGCTTCAGTAAAGCAAAGGAGTCTTTACAGTCATCCGTGATAATTGTCATGGTTTTTCAGCACTGAGATTAACTTTCAATTCTAGGCTTACTAATTGAATTTAAAAATCAGCCATCTTAGGTGGATTTGAACCCATGCCCCAAGAAAAGCTATTTTGATTACTAGTTTACTAGATTTACCATTATGACAGCAGCTTTTGCATTCAAATGGTCTGCCTCACAACCCTGCACAAAATACAGCCTCCATCAAGGCAACTTTGCCATGTTGGTACTTGGTAGTTCTGGAATTTATTTTTAAAAATTTGTCACCCTAAATTAACTTGAGTGCAGACCTCATGAAAGCCATCAGTAAAAATATTTCTCATATGTTAGAATGAGTGTCCAGTCTGTTTAAATAAATTATTACCCTAACTTAAAGCCACTCACCTGGGTACAGTGCTTTCCTCTCCTGTGAACAGAAGCCTGTTTCCACTCGATTAAATGCAAAATTGCTGTTCTGACCATTTGACACACGCAACGATTGAGAGAACTTTGAATTGTAATCGTTAAAGAAAGGAAGGAGAAGGTGAGACAAAGACAGAAAGAATCACAAAAACTGAAGGAAGGATGATATATATTCCTTTGCTCACCACTTAACTCCTCCCACGAATGAATATAATTCTAAGCCCCAGGCCATGGGTGTGATCCATATCTCAAACACTGCCAGGTTTACCAAGTGACTAATAGCACACAAGAACAACCATAATTGTTTTGCTTGTATGACTGGTTTCCAAGGATAAGCAATTCATGTCTTTCCCTGCAAATGAATAAACAAACATGTCTTGTTGTAATTACATTGGTTGTAATTTCTGCACAAAAGTACATTTTATTGTAAAACAAATCGTGATCAATAGAAGTGTATGTTCCAAATATTTGGTTGTTCATCTGATTCCTTGGCTCAACAAAACAACTAAGAAATTCATGAGAGATTTTACAGATGAGGAGAACACACTCTGTTTCAATAGGAATAAAGAATGTTCAAGGGGCCAAATTGTCTTCTCTTGTCCCTGTTTCTTATAGTCTTATAATAAATGCAATTACATGTAGACCTATGTGCCTTGAGTGCACCTCAATGTGCTTTACAGTCTATTAAATACTTTGAAAGGGAAATATGGTATACAATTTGAGCACAACAAAGTCCCTCAAATAGCAAAGAGTGATATCAAAACAGTGTCATGGGATCTTTTGCATACATCTGAGAGTGTATACAGGTCCTCATTTCAAAAGATCTTTGAAAAGACAGAACCTTGTGGCAGCAGAGCACTCCCTCTGGGAACATCAGCCTATGTTTTTGTTCAAAGCACATACTGGTAATGTATGACTCAGAAATGAGAATGGCATCAAGTCAGTTATGGTTTGCACTTAATGGAATGCATTACGCTAAGAATGATCAAACCTGGTCTATTTGTGCATTCTGATGTGGTAGTGTAAGTGAAGGTCTATGGAATCGAAGTGTGGGAACTTCACAGCTGAGTTAAATGAGGAATTCTCAGGTTTAGTTAAGCTTTTTATTTTGGAAATTAATGTGTTCAAGCGCTTATTCAGCATATACATTTGTCACAGTCATTGAAGCTGAAGTATCATGGATGCCAAAGCCATATGACATAGGAACTAGCATAAAACTTTAACTTGTCATATCAACTGCTTGGAATAAAGTTTAATAAACAGAAATATAAATGCTTCAAAAAATGTTGAATCAATTTAAAGCTTTCATGCACATAAATTATACATCCAAATACATAACTAAAAGCACAAACAGGTTCAGTATCAATTTGAAACAAGCAGAGAAAGACGCGAATGGCCCTAGTTAGTCAGGCAGGAGTCAGATGTGGGCAGTAATTGTTTGTGGTAGGATGGTCTCAAACCAAACTGATGATACATACTTAAGGACTAAAGGATATCATTTAAGACGGAAAACAAAAAACAGAGTTGGCATTTTGCTTATTGGACTGTTCAAAGGATGCAGGCTTTGCTGGCTGAGGCAGCATTTATTGTCCATTCCTAGTTGCCCTTGAGAAGGTGGTGGAGAGCTGCCTTCTTGAACCACTGCAGTCCATGGAGTGTAGGCCACCCTCAGTACTGTTGGAAAAAGAGCGCCAGGATTTTGACCCAACAACAATGAAGGAATGGCGAAATAGTCCCAAGTCAGGATGTAGTACGGCTTGGAGGGGAACTGGCATAAGTAAGGGGGCTTGTTTAATTTATCAGCAAGTACAAATGGACACATTATCTATAGAATTTCAGAATTATCTCTTAAAACTATTCTCTCTAAGTCTTTTGTAAGAAAAAGGAGGGAAATGCTCTCAAGAAGAGCAAGATCTTGCATTTGTAGTGTTTCCCATAACATTTGTTGACTCAATTTACTTTATATTGAAATATTTCTAAAGTGAACTATTGTAATATAGGAATGTTGTAATAATATGTTATATGTTAAACCTGTGACAGTCAGTTGGTGAAGGAGGAGACCAGGAGTCAATACTCACTCAGTTTTAGTATTGTTCAGAAAGTGAAACATGACAAATGCATAGCCCAACTCTACAACCCACTATAAGTGGTAATAAATGTCTTTTTATATGTACACAAGTAATTATCCAATCAATAGCACTCTTACAATTCAAAGAAACATGGTAGCCATTATGTACACAGCAAGCTCCCACATCAGATGATGATCAAATTACTTCATCTGGTTTTCAGACTTGTGTGAGGGATAAATATTGGCCAAGAAACCTGGTTTACAATCCTACTGGTCTTCAAAATACCAAAGTGCAATCACTCTTGCCAACCTAAAAGGACAGACACAGTCTTGATTTAATCTTTTAGAGAAATTATAGCAACCCCACTGCATTAGCACTCCATCGGTATTGGCACTGGAATGTCAGCCTGGATTATATTATCATATGTATTGGAGTGGGCTGTGATTCCACAATTTTCTAACATTGGGTGAATATATTACCACTGGACCATGACTAAACCTGCATGATGGACCTAGAGGACCTAAAACCAAGATTTCACAAATTCTGTTGTGACAAACTATGCCTATGTAACAGGACCTCCAGCAACATGTGAAATGGCGATGAAAGGTACTGAGCAAGGAAGCTAAATAGTTTGCTAGTGTAACCCATATGTTCATTCCATGAACATAAAATAAACAGTTGTATGTTTATCTTTAATTTCCTTTCCTTTATGTGATCTGATGCTAGTGGAATAAAGCATCCTTGTTCTATGATCTTTGGGCTGCATGTATGTTCAAATCTAATTATACACCTACATATAATGAGAGAAGTCAGATGGGAGAAGTTCACTAATAGGTTATTGCCAAAGTACCTCACTGCGGCTTGCTTCATAACAAAAGACGTTCCCTCCATGTCAATCAGAGACGTCGCTGCAGCTTTGAAGTTGTTTGACTAGCCTTGGGAAATATTGGGCTAGCTTTGACTGCTGCCTAATCTTCAGAGTTTTATCCAAACACCTCTGGTTTGAGTTGATCGCAGACTTTATAGTCTAAGTTAACATAATGTTAACAAATCAAACAATCTCCATCCTTTCTCTAGAAAAACTGTACACATGAAAACATGTGCAGAACTGGAAGTAGAACTAAAAAAGATTTCTCTTCCTAAACTATGGGTGTTTCTCTCAGCTTAAAAACAGTCCAGAAATTTCTGATAGAAGTCTTGAGGCACCATTGTTTAACTTGTTATGTCACAAACCATCTTAGGATAAATAAAAATCCATTTGTTCTGAAAACTAGTCCCCACAAATTGTTTTAAAGACACTCCACGGCTACAGAATCATTCATAAGTTAATTAATTTCCTTCGACACATAGAAAAACCTCAATGTCACTACTTCAAAATCAAAAAATCTAAACTTATTACAAATTATATCAAAAATATAAATCACACAGTTGACATCACACTGTAACAATCTTTTGACTTTTATTCCTACTTTCACTGATCTGTCTGGTTTACTCTGTACATCAATAACCCAAGGTAGTCCGAAAAACAGGGTATACCCAATTTTTTTTTTATTAAAGCAAAGTACCCTACAAAAATACAACAAACCAGTAATATATCACAAGCTTGGTCATGCAACAGTTACAATCACCAGTGAACCGGTTTATGTGGACTTGTCCAAGGATCAGACTAAAACAACTGATCAGCCTACTCCATCTCAACCTCCAGCCATTGATCAGATGACCTCTTGAGCTAGCTAACTATTGCTCTGAATCAAGCTTTCTTATACCTTTCTTCCATACAGAAAAACTGTGATCACAATTTGACACTGTCTAGTCTTCAGCAATTTGATCAGTTTACTGACTAGCAAACATCACAAATGTGTCACGTTTTCCCTGGATGGTTTGATATTGCTCATTAGGACTTGTTTGTTTCTCCTGGAAAGAGGCTTATCTCTTGATTTTAATAAAGTTTGCTTCACTTGCTTATATTGTTGCCACCTTTATGTCATCCAATCAAATGTTTAGACAGCATGATTCTATGATCAAGCACTCTCTGTTTAAGTGATAAACAGTCCACATTATCACATCCGATGCATCAAACTGTTTTTAACAGAATACTAGTCTTTCAGATATACTGTGACAGTTCAGTCCATCATTGTTGAATTTAAAATACTCACACATTTCTGAGACACAGAAACATTAAAATCAGTGACCTTTGTAATCATTAAGTCATAATCTAGCCACTGACTTTTCAATAGAGCAGGCTGCTTGTGCTTTTTATTCTCATTTCATTTGATTTTGACTAACTCAGCAGATGTTAGGTTAATGTCTACAATGGAGTGTGGCATTTGGAGTATTGAGTGGAACCTTCCAGGGTCATTCAGGAGTTTTAGAGAGCGAACTTAATTGGATGGGAAGCTAAATTTCTGTTTACTAACTCTGAATTAAACATTTGTGATTAAGCTCTCAGGAGCTTTCAGGTGGGACAAATTTCCCAACTGTAATCAGTGGGAACATGATTTACATTCTTTAGCATGTCATGAATGCTCAATAATCAGTCCAGGCCATAGAACGCATGTTGACAGGCATAGTCTTGTTAGACAAAAACAGGAAACTTGTATGTTCAGAAACCCAACTATTTATATATTGTGTACCTGAGGTATGAACTTGACGGGGTAGACTTCTTCCTCCAAGGTCTGATGGGGATAAATGTCTTTACTAATTTGGCTCCTTCAAAAAAAGGCCATTTCTTTGTACAAACCCTTACTGTGTTAGGGATTGAACAACTCATGAGAAGTCTCAGTTCTGTTCAGTCTGGCTTGTTGTTACATTGTTAGGGGTGAAAGTTGACAGGGACAATAATCCTTCTCCTGCAAAGAAGCAACATTGAGTGATGCTAGCAAACATGACAACAGCAGGCAGGACTGGCTTAAAAAAGATTGAAAAGCTCAAAAAACCAGCTCTTGCAGTTGTGCCCTCATCCCACAGAAGCCTTTGATCTGGTCAGAAGTCAGATGCGTACAATCTTCTCGTCGCAATTAATGATCAGTGACCTGATGCTGTGAACTTAATTTTTTTAATCATTCATGGCGTCGCTGGCTGTGTTGCATTTGCTGCCCAACCCTCCTTGCCCTTAGGA